TTCAGTAATAAATCAGCAGCTTTCTGACTTACTTTACTGAAAATTCATTCTTCTGTTCTTGAATAACAAGGATAGTAAGAAATTTGTTAAATTATTCATTGAACAAATATTAATAGTGATTATTATTCGTACTCAAAATATTAGAATATGAATACAATTTAATGGTAAATTGAAATTTGTTTATGTCATAAGTAATTATATCAGTAATCCTGTGTTGTACTTATAAAAAAAAAATTTGATATCAAATTCTTACATTAATCAAATCATGAATGTGAAGGCAATGCTTGATTTCTATACAAAGTTACCCAGCATTGCTTTTTTCTATAATCTACTTGGAATATTGCTGAACAGAAGGAGCCCTCCAGTTCGCACTAGTTTAGAAACAAAAGAGCAACTTCTGCTTGTTTTTATGAAACTGAGATTGGGTCTCTTGAATGAAGATTTATGTTACAGATTTCTCATAAATAAAAGTACTGCTGGTAAGATCTTCACAGCTTGGATGCATCGAATGGGCAGAGAGTCCTTTCAAGGTTTATAAATTGGCCTTCTTCAAAGCACTTACCGGAAGCATAAAATTTTTCCACACGTCATATGCATATTGGACTGCAGTGAGATTTTTATAGACACGCCTTTCAACTTAGACGCCCGTGCGCAAACTTATTCAAACTATAAAAATCATAATACTGTTAAATTTTTAAACTCAATTTCTCCTTCTGGTGCAATAACTTTCGTTTCCGAATTATATGGTGGTCGACATTCTGACAAATCCATCACTATTAAATGTGGAATTTTAAATAAATTCGTACTTAATAGAAAAAGTTTTAGAAAATATGAATGCCTTACCATCGTCAAGTAATGATGTAAATTGCAAAACAGCAGAAATGTCTAATATTTGAGAATCAAGTGTTTCAGACAATAAACAAATTTTACATGATCCAGTTTCACACTATTTCATGTGATACTGACAAATCTGTCAATGACTTTAGTGATCCTGCATTATGGCCTCCTATAACACTTCGTATATAACAAAGTAAAGCAAAACATAAATTTCCTTGAAAACTCAAATATAGTTTTTGGGAAAGTAGAACGATCATGTTCGAAAAAAAACTTTACACGTATTAAGAAAAATGGAGAAGTCGTTAAAAGAGACTGGCTAGTGTATTCTATTCACCAAGTTCACAAGCTGTTTTTTGCTATATTTGTAAACTGTATGGATCAAGTGACCAAGCTTTGTGTCAAGATGGTTAACTCCGACTGGAGAAATATAGCAAAAAGATTATCACCGCATTAAAATTCTACTTGTCACAGAAAAAACATTTATTCTTTTTCACAACGTTGTCTTAAAGCAAATAGAATAGATTGCAATCTTTTAGACCAGTTTAAAGCTGAATGTGACTATTGGAGGAAAATTTTGTATAGGGTTGTAGCTGTTGTGAAGTTTATTTCAATACGTGGGCTTGCATGTTATGGCGACAATGAAACGAAACCTTTGGTTCATTGCAAAATGGTAATTTTTTGGGCAAAATTGAGCTGTTAAGCTCCTTCGATACGTTTTTAGCTGATCACATAAAAAACACTGGAAATAAAGGCAAAGGTGGTGTGAACTATCTATCTTCAACAACTGTGAGAGTTTATCAACATCATGTCTAATAGGGTTTTGCAAGAAATATTAGCTGAGATTAAAGAAGAGAAATATTTTGGCTTGATTGTTGATTCAACTCCTGATATTTCCCCTGTTGATCAACTAGCCATAGTTTTGCGATACGTTGATAAAGATGCTGAATCTGTGGAACGGTTTTTAAAATTTGTAACCAGCCATGGCCATAGCGCTCTGCACCCACAAGAAGTAATTATAGATTTTCTTGAAAACATACAGATTGAATTGAAGTATTGCAGAGGACAATCATTTGATAATGCATTAGATGTGTATTGTCCTTTAAAATGGAATTTAGCAAGGGTTATCAAAACTCATCCAGGTATGGATAACAGAACCAGATTTGTAACTCTTAAAGATAAAAATTGTATATTTAAACGGCCAGCAATAAAATTAGTAACTTTGCCACGTGTTAATTAAAAATTGTGTTTTATTGTTATATATTTGTATTTTTATGGTTCGGTTTCTATTTGTGTTTTTGTTTTTATTGTGTTTTGTTGAATGCTGCGTCATTCAACGCCCGGCGGTATGTTGAAGCCAGAAGCGCCATCTGTGAAAATTGCGCGTGTGCAATGAATCCGAAGAGCTGGGATGTGAGAAAAGAGCGTTGCTCTAAATGAGTTAGTTATGTGATTGAAGTATTGTATTTAATTATTACAGTTCAACTTTTGTGATTTTTGAGAACTTCTTTTATTAGAAAAGTAAAATCAAGATTATATGACGAATAAAATCAAGATATCTGCGAGTGTGAAAATTAATGGTTCGGCGTTGCGCTTGTGGTTTCGGAAATCTGAACTATAATTATCCGGACTGGAGATAGAAGCAAATATCTCACCAAGCATATTGCGTACATCGACAGGAGCAGAATAAGTATATATATACATATATATATATAATATACATATATATACATATATATATATATACACACACACATATATATATATACACATATATATACACATATATATACACATATATATATATACATACATATATATATACATACATACATATATATATACATATATATATACATACATACATATATATATACATATATATATACATACATATATATACATACATATAAATATACATACATGTAAATATATATACATATATATAAAGTATTCAGCATTTCATATCATAAATGTTATTTGCAAATTTAGCATTTTAATGTTATTTGATTTCAGGCAAACAATTTTAAATACAGTTAGTCAAAAAAGTCTGCGTACATTGACAAAAGTAATATCAAACTCGAATTTAAAGGGGGAATAAAATGGTTTTTTAAAGTTTTATTATTTTAAATCCTTAACGTCAGTTAGTAACTTTAAAATTATTTGACAAAAATATTTTCATGCCCAATAATTTATGCACACTAATTTTTAAAAGATAATTGGACAAAAATCAAGGCCAATAAAGTTTGCGTACAAACCAGAAGGGGCGGGGAATTTCTTATCTTAATTTCAAACTTGAGAATGCAAATCAGATTACACTTTCAAGGTCATTGAGCTTCAAATCTATTTTCGAGTTAATGGGAAGTTGTTAGTGCTATTTTCTTTGACGAAAATGTCACTTAATAAGGAAATTCCTTTAGCTACAAGACAATTAATTATAAAATTGAGAGATGAAGGTAAAACTCTTCGCTATATAGGAAAAATAGTTAGGAGGTCTCACTCTAGTGTGCAAAGAGTTATTCAGAACTACCCTGTGGTACTGGAAATCATGCTGTAAAACCAAGATGTGGAAGACCTAGGAAGATTATTCAGAGAGAAGAAAGAAAATTTCTTTTGCGAATTAAACAAAATCCTAAACTTTCTGCTGTAAATATAACAAAATATATTTTTTTAGCAAGCAATTAGGAAATTCCCCCTGTACTGTGAAAGGCAAATTATTACGATCGCAAATCTAGGTCTAAGCCATACATTTCTAAGACGAATCGAATGAAAAGAATTGCTTTTGCAAAAACTTATTTGAACTCCTCGGCAGATTATTGGAACAGTGTAATTTGGTCAGATGAAAGTAAATTTACAATATTTAAGATCAATGGCCACCCTATTGTATGGTGAAAACCGGGAACAGAACTGAATCTGAGAAATTTAAATCCAACTGTTAAACATGGAGCTGGTGGAGTGATGGTATGGGGGTGTATGTCTTCGAATGGAGTTGGAAATTTGCCTATTATTGATAAAGTCATGGACAGGTATGTTTATTTGGATATTTTGAAGAAAAATCTACTAGAAAGTGCTCGAAATTTAAACCTTTCTAATACCGTTATTTTCCAACAAGACAACGACCCTAAACATACTGCTAAAATTGTGAAGGAATATCTTTTCTATCACACTCCGTGACAATTACCAACTCATCCACAGTCACCAGACCTTAACCCGATTGAACATTTGTGGGCAAAATTGGACAAACGAATTCGAAAACACAATATTACTTCCCAAAATGAGTTAATATGCAAATTGCAGGAAGAATGGGCAAAATTTACGTCATATGATACACAGAATCTAGTCCAGTCAGTGCCTAGACGTCTGCAAGCTGTTTTAAAAAATAAAGGGTACGCAACAAAATATTAAAATAACGCTAAAAACTTTTATTTTTAATTTTTTTCTTAAGTGTACGCAGACTTTATTGGAGTGTATTGCTGTGTTTTTTTCGTAAAAATTTATTTTTGAGAAAGTTTTTAAAATATTGCAGTTTTATTTTTGCTCCTTACTGTAGCTTACAATTGTAGCTATTGCAGGAAAAAAAACCATACTGATTAAAATGTTTCTTTGATGTTTAAAGTGCTTTTTTAATTTAATAATCAGTCTGTACGCAGACTTTATTGACTAACTGTATATATATACTAATTATTAGTAACACCCTCTTGAAAAATTCCTGTGTACGCTACTGAACGAAATATGAACTAGGTATGCAAATTAAACGACAAATTATGTAACATTCAAAGAGAGTATTAATAAGTTTACTTTCAGAGGCAAAATTAGTGAGAACTCAATTTAAAAAAAGAGCATATTTAATTACTAAAAATAAAAAGGTCATACCGACAGAGAAAAATTAATCAACTGTTACAAAATTGGGATTTATTTTTATAAAATTTGCGTTGTTTGTTAAGTTTTCTTAAAATCCCTAAGTCACTACGATACAAGAATCATAACCTTAAATCTAATAGAAGGGTATTGACCGTAACTTTTTGTTTTTCTTCTTTTTTAAATTCCTTTTTAAAGTGAATTAACTTTAAATAGAAGGTTTAAACCACCGCATTTGAAAAACATAATTCTTAAAATCTTCGGCCCGCCTTTCCTTGTTATCGCCCAGTTATTTTGATCAGATGCCAAGCCACATGCAGTTCCGATATAAATTTAGCTCTAAAAAAATAAACACAGAACTCTTCCTTCTGAGTTGTTTGCAAACATGGATTTCTCCGGTCTGATCGCCTCTTACCGACCTCCTTCAGCTATAGAGGAAGGTAACTGATAATAATTTGTAGAAAGTTATACCTTCTGTTTATTCAGAAATGTTACTAACAAACCTATCTTTTTTATGTATGCTACAAAAATATATTAATTATAGAAAAGCTATGAATTAACACCGCGCTGTAATGTTCAAAACTAAAAGGCGTATATACCACTCCAATTTTTGTCTTCTATGGATTTCACGTAATTAGATTAAGTAAAACATGTTTTTAATATGATATAAAACTACTCTATGATTAGTTTAGAAGATGAACTACATTGATGCACTAATTCGGCACGATATATATTGCTATTTATCGTAGTCAATAAATGTGAGCCAAGATTTATCAGGCCAAAGCAATTTTCCCGCTGAATTGGCACAAAATTATAGATTATATCTAATCTAACAATATTTAGATAAAAAAAAAATTTTCTTCAAAATCGCAGCTATAAACTAAGAGCGTGATTTCAGATACTTACTTACTTATCCTCTACGTGCCTTTGGGCAGTAAAGGCCTCTAGCATATCCCTCCAACGCCAGCATATCCTTCCTCCCAGCCAGATATTCTAAATTCTCTTAACTCGCCCAAAAACATGCGATGGGTGGTAAGTCTGGGTCTTCCTCTTGTTCTTTTACCATCAAGGGCCCATGTAAGAGCAACAGATGTAATTTTTTCTTTGGGCATTCTAAGGATATGTCCGAGCCAGCTCCATCTTCGTTTTTTAATTTCATCTTCTATGGTTTTTATTTCAGCTTTCTTTAATAGATTTCTACTTGATACTTTGCAAGGACAGAAAATTTTAAAAATAAATCTTAAACATTTATTTTGAACGGTTTCTAATTTTTGTATTTCAATCTTAGTCTGTTTCCAGGTTTCTGCGCCATATGTGATTTCAGATAAGTTTCTTATTATTTTTTAAATATTTGAAAGACAGAATTGTCAGCAGTTTAATTTATAACTATGGCTAATGCTAAACCAATGAGATAGATTAGTTTTCAAACAAACGTACTCCCGAACGATCTAATTGAAATTTTTTCAACATTTTTAAGTTTGCGAGCAAAAATTACGTCTTGCATGCAACATTCCAATTTCTGGATCATATATTTTTGAAGTTATAAAAAGACATACAACAATTTCTTTATTTTATCACTATAGATAAACCGCATTGTGTTTTCACCTCGTTCACAATAATTATGGGAGAAATAATAACGATTCTTGAGGAGATATAAGAGTGAATGAAACATAACCAAATACAAATATATTAAGAGGTAATAAAAATAACTAAATCAGACCTGTCAACATGTAAATTATAGTTCACCACAATATTTGCAGTAATAGTGTAATAACAATTAAATTACAAAAATATCCTTTAATTATCACCAGCACTTCAGATCATCGTGCTTGAATGTAATCATAAATTTTCATATTATTTTAAATATTTTGAAAAAATTTTTAGAACTAAATTTCCGAAAGATTGGTCCGTTGAACTCTAGACACGAAGACAAAACAGAGGTGTCAAATCAAAAATTATTATTTTCTGGAACTTTTTTTTTTTACGAATATGAATAAATTTGTTACAATTCATTCACATTTGGTGCTAAAATAATATTTCAAAAATAAATATAAATTTTTGTTAATTAATTAGAAGTTATTGGCGCAAGACCTATTTATGCTTTAAGACTATTTATGTCGAGAGCTTTCATGTAACTTTCCTTTCCTCCATGATTATTCTTAGGCAGTGCAGCTCTTAACTTTTATATAAAAGTAAATATTCCATGCTCACTATAAATTAATATTTAAATTACTTATAAAAATGTGCTTGTCTTGATTTAGAATGATACTTTACCCACATGGCCAAATTTATCCAAAAATGTGTTTATAATACCTATTACTTCAATAAAAAATTGTACTAATTTTTTCTAACAACCGCAAATACCAAAAAACTTATGCGTTGCAAGATATATCTCGCTACACACCCGTGTTTTTAAGATGGATGAATACATTAATTTTAATCTAGTTACGTCGATTTTTAATCTATCTGTAGGCTGAGTATAGCCAAAAGGTGGATTTCTTTTTTATTATCTTAAAATTATTTTTACCATTACAGATTACAAACACATCAATAAACGTGAAAGTTCACAAATCTCTTCATTTTTTCTCTCCCATTCAGTGCTGTTTTATTAAAAGTTGTCAAAGTTAGTTCTCTTTCACTCTGTATATGGAACAATCTAACGCAATTTACAAATTTCATTTTTTATTAGATGTACTGCAAAGTTTGCACAGATCCCAACGCTCTACATTACCTCTGCGACACGCGGCTGATATGATTATTCACAGGAAATCTTTAGAATCTATCAGGAGCTTCATTGAAGAGGAGGAACTCATACTTAGCATTGATGAATCTGTCCACAAGGGTCTAAGACTAATTCACTATGCTGTTTACCTTGATGCAGAATATCTCGTGGATCTTTTACTCGAATTTGGGGCTGATCCGAATGTCATGGATGCCATGGGATATACTCCTGTCCACATTTGTTCAGAAAAAGGATACTCTCATCTGATTAATATTCTCATGGCTTATGGAGCGAGAATAAGATTTACCGAGGTATGTCAGATTTTCATAATTGGAGTGGCTGCTTTTTTTCTTGTAAAATGTGGTATAATTAACTCTTACACTAAAAATAAAACTAGCAGACCAACTCGATTAGAAATAGATTAAAAATATCTATTTGAAACTAACAGCGTCGGTTTAAGCATTTATAATTTATAATATTTTTGATCCACCACTATTTTTAAAAAAATTAAGCATATATATGCAATACTGATGTAGAGGACTGAATAAGCTTGTTCAAAATACAGCTTATTATTCCGCCTAGAATTGCTATTTATATTCCATTCGACTACCACTGGCGAAAATCATCCTTGAAAGGATAATAAGTTGGCAGGTATGCCCTTACCACCCCATGCGTATAGTTTTTCCATTCTTCGTTTAAATCTAGCGCGCATTCCGCTTTAGTTTAAACGAAACTTTTATAAATAACTACTCCATTTGGTTCATTGTAGAGTTAAACGACCTTAAACACTAGGGGAGAGTGGGGTCAATTGTAACATTTTATACTTAACTATTTTTAACTAACAAAAAATCCAATATATTATTAGTATTAATTGACAGACGAGTAAAGTAGACTATCCTCTACTAGAAAAAAAAATAAATACCTTATTTTAAATGTTATTATATTAGTTATTAACAATTTTTGACAGTCGTGCACTTGTTACAATTGTCCCCACTTACGGGGTCAATTGTAACAGTTCATAAATTCAACTAAAACATAGTTAATTATACATATTATCATAGTTGTGATATATTTTTTTATTGATCAAAATAGTAGTGATATTTTAGGAGTAAAAATAATAATGAGCAGAGACCTAAAGGGTTAAACTTTTAACTTTAAGGGGTTAAAAATTTTAATTTATGCTGTGAAAGGTGACAAATAAAATAATGCACATGCAACATAATATAAATGATATAGGAAACTATTGGTGGTTCTTAAAGAGTTAAGTAATGGTTTGTAAACATAAGATTATTTATTTTCAGCTGTTACAATCGTCCCTTTACTTATTGTTACAATTGTCCCCAAGACGCCATTTCAGCTTCATTTGTTAAAAACAATGCTAGTTAATTAGCAAAACTAATCTTTTTTTTATTGAAATGTTAATTAAAGTGTCCACTTACATATTCGGTTACTAATTTTTATTTGTTTAAACAAAATTACTTTGTTACAATATAATATTCTAATACCAAAAAAAGTACTTGTGTGGCGTGAAAATATCTTTTGTGATGTAACTCTTTCAAAAATACATAAAAATGGTTGCCATCAGGGGTGTACATGTAGATTTATTAAATACACCTTGTGCGCCACCTAGGAATCAAATCTAGAACCCGACACTCGAAATTTTTGCTCTGTTACAATCGTACCATGTTACAATTGACCCCACTCTCCCCTACCATTGTGTACTTAAGGTAACAAAAGACACAGAGCTCCAAAATGAGCTTAACGCGAAATCAAAGTATAAGGACAGAATCACTACTAAACCCGCATGTATCCGAGATGAACAAAGTCGAAACAACTTTTTTGCCATTCGCTTCGCATAGTACTTGGTCTCGGTGATACAGTAAGCTAATTAGCGTTCTCCAAAAACTTAAAAAAAAAAAAGGAATGGTAGTAAAATTGCTAAACGGATATTTGAAAACTCATGTCTTCACCTTTTCAATTTCATATTCTGAAGACAGAAATTCCTTCACAGGGATTTTCTAGCAGAAATACATAACTGGAAAGGTCCGTTAGGGAATTTTGCTACCAGTATTTTGGTTTTGGGAGGACGCTGGTCAACTACAGGGTCGAATTCCGGAGATGACCAGTCCATTCGTAAACTGTTTCCAGTTTCTGCCGTTCACGGAATTGACGAAAAATGTCTCCCGTGTTAGATATGTCATGAGTTAAAGATGAGTTTCTACCGTCGATGACAATCTGAAAGAAAATTATCTTTTAATGAATTCTGCTTCTTTTCAAAAAGCGAATTCCTATAATCAGAATTGTTGGAGAAGCGGTATTTTAAAAATTAGTTAGCTCAAACATCATCGAAATTGGAATAAAAGTCACTAAGATTTTCTTGGTTGGTGCTCCTTGCCACCGGGCTAACAATAGAAGGTTTTTTCCTTCCCCGACTAACAACACAAATGCATGTTAGTTTCAACGAAAAGTCTTCTAAGATGGTGAGTTTGACCTGGTGTTTAATCCGGTTCTCGTTGACTGGGTTCGGTTCAAAAATTACAAGACTAGGGAGTTAGTTGAATATTTATGTGGCCGTTAATCCGGTATCAATCGGCTATTCAAAGATAGAAACAAAATGTCAGCAATGGCGTTAACTTTGGTGATATTTTGTTTCTATTCCAAATTTATCTGAGATACAGATAACTTTGAAATAGAAACTGTACCGAATGTATTAACCAGTTTTCCATCTGCTATGTTGATCGGCAGAAAAAGTACTTATTATCATTGTTTATCTGAAGCTACACATGTCTCGATATCTTTATTTCGAAATGCCCAAGCATTTGTGTTAGTCCTTCTTCAAAATTTCTAAAAAATATAATGCATTTAGAGAACATGAATATTAGTTTTTGCTTGACAATTGAAAATCTTATCTTCGTACGGACATTAGTACAAGTCCATACTGCATTAAGTTGTAGGTGCGATATAGCCACTTACGCCAGTAAATCCAACTAAACTAACGAACAAAATTGCATAAGTGCTTTCTTTTTTCTGATGTTTCAAAATTATTTAAGTTCACACATTTCTTTCCTTAATTCAGATACGATATCACTTTTGTTTAAACCAGGTAAACCCTGATGACAGATCATATGGTGAGCCTCCTCGAGCAACTGCCGCTGACGAACCTTTAAGACTAGCAATAAGAAACTGTGAACATGAAACAGCTCGAATGCTTTTAGAGCACGGAGCAAATCCAAATGCTCTGTACTATTTAGGATTTGAGATAAATCTTGTGGATTCGGTGGATCTGAGGTCAGTAGAACTGTTGCTGATGTACGGAGCTGACCCAAATGCCCGAGATTTGCAAGGAATGACGCCGTTGATGAAAGCATGCAGAAGCGCTCAAGCTGTGGAAACTGTGCACTTACTTATAAGGTAAGCGCTGCTGAACTAAGTTATAAATTTTCTTTTACATAAATGATTGTTTGGTTAATTGAATTGAGAGTTAGATTTGATTTCCACAATGCATAATGCTCTTTGAAAAAAAAAAATGTTGTTTGACTGAAGTTTATTGGAAAAAAGAAAGGTAATAGTCACATTTTAAATCAATGCTTTCAACCTTTACTTAAACAATTGAGGATTTTTACTTAAGAATAATATAGTAATAGGGTCAGAGCCTGAATAAGGCAGGGGCAGTTAACTATAGGAATGATAGTTAGAAAACTATAGGAATGATAAATGATATCTACAAAAAATATCAATGTTAATTTAAGCTTTGCGTGTTAACACGAGTGTAAAAAAATAATATAAATAACTGGGGTACCTCGGGGTCGTGAAGCCCGTGTTTACTTAAAGTAAGTAAACCCCCTGAGGAAAATATTTTTAAACACTTAAATAAAAACTGCTTAAAAATACCTTTGGTTTAATGATGATTATATCCTAAGGTGAGCAATTCGTCGTAATTACAGGTTGAAAATTTGCAATGAGACTTTTATTATCATCAGAAAAAAAAAAAAAAAACAATTTGTAGTGAATCTTTTGTAAATTCAATTACTTCCAAATTTTTACATTATTGTAAAAACTTTAAAATGTTACAAGTAACTCGTATAGACTTTAATTATAGATCAAATCTCAGTAATTGGTACAGATTGTTCCCTCTGCAATATTTATACTACTAAGTAAATAAATTTGTCATTTTGCAGCTATATAGTCTTCAATATATTTTAAACATCACATTTGCAAACGATTTGTCTATTTTAACTTTTAGTTATGGTGCAGATGTTAATGCCATGACAGAAGAAGACCAGAAAAGCTCGTTGCATTATGCAGTTCTAACAGGAAATTTAGAGATAGCAGAGATTTTGGTTTACAATGGAGCACAAGTGTGCTTTCCCTTGGAACGTACAAGACCCCCACCATTATATTATGCTGTGCTAAAAGGCGATGTGAAATTTTTAGAGTTCCTTCTCAAATCAGGGGCAGACATTAATGCGGTGTCAGTGGTAGTAGGATCTGCCCTGCACCTGTCCATGGTTGAAAAAATTCCAAATCAATACAGAATAGTAGAGACCTTGTTGAGGAATGGTGCTAATCCCAATGCTATTACTGTTGCTGATGATAAACCATGTCTAAAACCTCCGATAGGAGAATATTTACAAAACTGTGAACAACCTCGAATTGATATTGTATCTCTGCTTCTAAGGTATGTATATTTGATACATGAAGAACTTAGTGAATGAAGCAGGTAGATGACATCTTTAGGGATATTCATTAATCAGGAAAAACCACATTAAATGATCACATCAGTGTGTATGTTTCATTTATCAGAATTGCTTTTATTTTAATTTTGACATAACTAATCTACAATAGTTTTGAGTATGTTTACCTAATTCTTCTTTCGAATTGGGGGACGATAAATAAAATAAGGCGAAGTATTATAAGTCCCGCCTTCTAATATATCTGTAATAAAATAATTCTTCGGATACCACTTGTTTCCTTCTTACTTTGATATAGTAACTCTGAAAATGTCACTTACCTGGTTCCTCCATTCAGTTTTTCTGACTGAATTGATTTAATTCTAATTTAAGGATACACTTATAATACAGAAAATTTGAATGATGGATAAACATGTTACGTTTTTCAATTTGAGACTAGTGCCTAGTGGTTAAACGAGAAAACATCAGAAATTTTCATAAAACTCAATTTTTCGTATGTTGACATAATGAACACTCAAGAATTTTTCTTTAAATGTAAGTTGAACCTTATATAAATCAGAAAGTTAAAGAAGATGCAACCTTATTTATTTATTTTTTTCCTTTTGCAATGGACACAACATAAAGGATGTTAAATTTTTAAAGTAAATTTCAAGAGAGAAAGTTTTACTCAATCGAATTTGCATTGAGACTTGAATTAAACATGTTCTTCATATTCTTACCATTTACTTTTCTGATTTCTTCTTAATAGTGCATCAAAATTAAAGTAATTCATTTTATACAGGAGAGTGGCGTTGAGCCCTCAAAGCCTGCAAATATCTTGAGAAATATCCATTGAATCAAAAATATCAACACACATTTAATATTTCACAAAAAGCTATCCAACGATACTTATGTCAGTCTCTCTCCCTGTCCCATGAAATAAAATCAGTTAAAATTGTCATTTCAATAAAATTTTATGAAATAGGTAAAATAGTACAAAGATAAAAATATACTTATAAACGTGAACAAAATCATGAATAGATTAAAATTTATATAGAATTTAAAATATCAATAGTGCATAAAAATGTTAGAATGACGGTTATAATCTAACAAATCCTCTATAGATAAAATACAACTGTTCGAAAAGGGTAAGGTGATGTTGGTTAAAACACAGGCAAAAATGTTCAGTTTTTAAAGAGCATGCATCAAACTAATGTTTACAATATGCGTAAAAAATTTTTGAATAAAATGGTGATTATTAATAAAACAGTAAAATCTAATAAAAATGGTACATACTATATACAATTTAAAATACCAATAGTGCAGGGAAATGAAAAGATGTTAGAAAGTCTTTCATCTGACAAGTCTTGTATTTACAAAAATGGAGGTCATTTTATATTGCAGATTTGGATTCAATTTCACAGAATAGACCTAAGATTTTTTATATTTTTGAATCAGTAAGCAGATACTAAAATTGGAAAATAATGATTGGAGCACGAACAATTACAAATTGAAAGTTCCCCCTATAGAGAAGACTTTAATATTACTGCATAGCTTTTGGTAAAACATTAAACATGTATTTTACCTTTAATGCATGTTTCTCAAGATATTTGGTTGCTTCGAGACACCTTGATTTTATATAACAAAATTACACACATAACTAAAAAGCCATTGAAAATTCTAATATCCTTAGAGGTGCTAAGACTTAGATAACTTCGGGAATTTCTGGCTTAAAAGATCAAAACCGTTCTCAAGTAATCTCAAAGTATTTTATGCCATTTTTTTTCTTTTTTTAAATGAGGTAAGTCCATTTGAAAAGGGGTTTAAGTCTGAAACTTTTAACTGTTAGTGTTAGAATGAGTTCAAATATTATTTAAAAATGGTTAAACATTATTTGATTAAATATTAAAATGCAATAATGGTTATTAAAATCACAAAAAATAAATAAATGGTATTTTAGCTATAAATAGACTGATTGCATCTTAATGCATTGCAGGTACGGAGCACGCATAGTTCTTCAGTGTCAAAGGGATCACGATTTAGGGATCATAAAAGTTATTCACAGGATACATTTGGGACTCAATCCAGAAGTGATGGACTTGCTCGTAGAAGCAGCGGAATCTTTCAATGTCTCGTTTATAGAAAATTCAAAACAGATGAGTGACGAACACAAAGATTTGCTTCTGACGAGAGCTTTACAGCCATTCTCCCTTTTAAATGCCTCAAGGATACAGGTCAGGAGAAACTTAGGATGGGGACCAGATTTTCTGGCCACCTTGCAGAGTTTGCCCCTACCACAAATGCTCAAAAAATTTGTTTTATTTGAGGAGTGATTTTTATAGTAATAAAATATGTTTTATATTTTGTTATCACTTTCTACAATTGTTTTTATAACCCAAGAAAACACTATATCTGTGGCCATACTATTTATATTAATATTCTATCTAATGATGCTTAGATTTTTATAAGGTTGAAGCAATAGAAAAAAAATCCTAAATATTTAAAAAGTTTTTCTTAGCTAAGGAACCATACATAAATTATAATAGAAATGTTAATAAGTCTATAGTATGCAATATACGATTGACGATCGAGGAGGATGAATGATTTGTCTCGAAAAGTTGATTTTAAAAAATAAGTTCATTCCGAGACATAAATGAGCAGTTTTTCCCTAGCAGGGTTCATCTTCACCTTGTGATAACACTGGGAGGGGGCGAGTTTCCACGTTACTGATTTGTCACAACTAAGTAATTGCTATCCTAACATTTTTTAGTAAAAAAACTGACAAAAACTATTCTCCCCCTTGATCTTTAACAAAAAAAATTTTCAAATCATAGATGACTTAAATTAAAAAAAGCTTTGTTACTATAATCTGTTTGCATATCAATAAACTAGAATAATAAACATACAAAATACAAAAAAGGACATGAAATTTATTTAATAATAAATTTATTTACTATTTTTCAGGACAAAATATGAAACATCAGAATAATTTTGTATAGATAAAATAGATTATACTCATGCACACATTTTCATCAAGTAATATTTGTACCATACAAAATATACATTGCAATTTGATCCCTCAGATTATAAAAGTGGTTATTTTGTGTTTGCAAATATTCATGATTTGAATCAACAATAGTAATTATGTTGGGGGAAAAAAATAAAAACAAAAGTATATGAAAAGTAATGTCAAAATCAATAAAATAAAATGCCATCTTAAATAAAACAATAAATATAATGTTTTGAGAGTTTAAAATCATAATATATAAGTTTGGTAACTAAAATGTTAAAATACTTAAAAAAAATTAAACAGGACATAAGACTAAGAGATGTCAAAAAATACATTTTACAATACTTAGTTGTATTTTTTATTTAAATAAATTATTTCAAATATAACAAACAATAATGAAATTGCGAATGACATAAATTTAGTTTTTGGTTTAAATTTATAAGCTTTCAATTAAATTGAAAATAAATTGCTTTAAATTTAAATTAACTTAAAAGTTGAATTTTTTTTATAAGAAAATAAGAATTTTGACCTTCTTACAACTAAGCTACAAACATCAATATATTGAGCTTTCACTACTTTTAGAATTTGAAAAGTCTATTAATTGTACTGAATCTGCTTGAAAAAAATCAGAAAATTTACTTTTCAATCAAGAAAAATCGTTATAATTATCTTTCTTCCAAAAGAATGTTAGCGTGATTAAAATACTGATTTTGCTTCTGACATTTAGAACATAGTGTCGCACGGAAAAGTGGAGTGAAACAAAATCAGATTGAAAATACATGGTATTATAACAATACAAACTAATAATATTGTTAGTCTGTGTACTAGCTGCTATTTAAACTCCATTATAGAATATAAAATAACTTCTTAAATATATATTATGATAAAAACAAAACTTCAATTGCATATTTTTTCAGCATCTCTTTTGTTTATAATAATATGAAATTTAATACCCAGAAATTATTCAATATTTGATAACTTGCCAACTTTTTAATTGACAAAATTAGTAATATATATTATTTAAATAAATATATCAGGTCTATCAAATTTATATATACAGCAGAAGATCAAAATACGTCAATTTTATAAACCTCATCAACTTTGCGGATGTAAACAATAAAAATCGCACTTAAATTCTACGATTCATGTTTTGAACACATTGCATTTTGTTTATTTACTTTTGACAAGATAATCTTATTTTTGCCTGCTGTAGAACTAAACTTATAGATCACGCATCATATGAATGATGATTTTCTCAGTCACTTCTGAAATTGAATTATTTTTTATTGGGAGAAACTAGAGTATAAATAAATTTTTACTTGAATTCTGTTATACGTTTGATCACAAGGTAGCATGATTTTGCTGATCAACTTATAAAAAATGGAAAGAGATAATGGTTCTTCTAAAGGACAAAATAAAAAACATGTTACCTTTACTATTTTGCAAAAATTTGATATAGTTTGTCTAAGCTAAGAATTCTTCCCGCCACGAAGTCTGAGGCCGCCTGGTGTTATGGTAACAAGGATGGAGCATTTTAGGGAGGGTAGCTTCCCTCTAGGACAAACACAATAAGCCGAAGAGAGAGGGATTTCCTTTCTCTCGCCGACCCGAAATCACTTCGAAACAGTCACCCTGAACCCCTTTTTGAAATAGTCATACCTCGTTACCATGGTCACTGCCACAAGTCCAGACGAATGTCTGGGGGAGTTCTTGTCTTAGACAAACTATAGCAGTAAAGGAATTTACAATTGAAAACAAATTAAAGAAGCGCAATAGCGTGTTTTAGATACAATTCATTTTAATGATTTTGCAAGAGAACATAACCCATTACTGGCCCAATATTGTGTGAAAAAGTGAAAGAGCAGCTTAAAAAACGTGACATTATTGTGAAATGTGAATATTCAACTGACTGGCTGGCTGTCAAAATTTAAAAATCGACACGGAATACACTACTTAAAGGTAAATGGCAATAAAATGTCTACTGATTAAGTAGCAGCCGATGAATTCATTGAAGAATTTAAAAAGTTAGTAGAAGAGGAAAATTTTTCTCCAGAACTCATAATATGGCTAAATCAAACCTCTTTGGTGCAATTTGCCGAGAAAGACATTTGTAACTAAAGAAGAAACTGAACCATTAGGAGTGAAAAATGACAAGCACAGACTTGCAGTAGTAATTTGCAGCAATGTAACAGGTACACACGGTTATAAAGTCGTTTTTGGAAGAAGCGCCACTCCTCATCCTTTAAAAGCACTTTAGGTAGTGGGCTTCTTTCAGTAATTTACAGAGATAACAAAAGAACTTTGTATAGAATGATTCATTGAAAAACCATCTCAATAAAGAAGTTTATGAGCACAAGAAGATAGGTTTACCAGCAGATAGCAAAATTTTATTGCAACTCTATAACTGCACTGCACACACTGATCTCTTTGTATCCTAATGTCCTTTTAATGTCCTAATAATCCTTTTAATCCTAATGTAAAAACTTTTTTTTTATCACCAAATACCACATCTCTGATCCAGCCAATGGATCAGGGTGAGATAAAGAATCTAAAATGTAATTATAAAAGTGGCTTTCTGAGAAATTTCTTGAGCTCTGATTCCTGTCCTGATATTAGAGTTCAAGAAAAAGTTCAAATTCTGGATTTCGCAATCCAAGAAACTATTGTAAATGTCTGGCATAAAATTTAGGCCAGAGTCACTGTTTTTTGAAATTGATTACAAGGAATTTTCCGGACTTAAGTAATCATTAGCTAAAGTCAAGACTATTAAAATTAATTAAATGCCTGCAAAATAATAAGAGGTTGACAATTGTTTATAAAGCAGATATTCTAGAATTTTTAGAGGCTGATAATGACCCTGACATTTTTATGCATTTAACTGATGCAGAAATAGTTAATCTTGTTTAAAACAAAGGAGAAAATAGTACAGAAACAGAATCAAATGATGATGAATTTGAGAAGCTAACTATATTGAATAGGGTTTATCTCGGGGGGTAAATACTTGAAATTCCTAAAAAGAGCTGTGTAGCTCAGCGAGAACTTTAAACTGTTCACATGCTACAGGAAAAATTATTTGTTAAAAAGTCACCGTATCTAAAGCAAAGTAAAATTGATACATTTATTAGTTAGCTTGATAATTTTTTTCTCGTGAGTAATAAATGTTTAATTTACTTATATTTGTTCCTTTGTATTTGAATTTAAAAAATATATTTAAAGCATTAATATTCCATAATTATATTGCTATCAATACTAGGTAAGAATGTAATAGGTGCCATGATCTACATAATGCAAAATTCAAAATAACATAAAGACTTCGGTTTTAAGGTTTGCATTTTAAAGATCTTCTACTGTATATTCAAATAAATACTCTTAAATCAAATACAACACTACAACTCGATTATATACTAAAAATAAATAAGACATTCTCGTTAAAAAAAGTCAATTATAATATGTAACATTTACAGCATGCAATGAGATTGGAATGTAAGCTACACTTGTTATCGTGAGTTACAATTTAAAAACATGCTCCAAATTTAAAACTTAACAATATTTAGTAAAAATTAACTGTAATCATAATTTGGTATATAAATGCATTAAAATATAATTTCTGGAGTAAACATTGACAAATTTTAGGCATACATACTCTTTTTTGTAAAAGCGTCTTATATTTTTAATAAAATTGTAAAAATTAAATTATTTGGAACTTAATGATATGATTATAAATAAAATAAAAAATAAAATCATACATAATTCAATGTTTCTTAACAATGGAAATCATAAGAAAAATTAGTTTTTCATCTAGATATTTAGCTAATGAGCTTGGCTATACAAAATAAACAGTTTACAAACAAAATAACACTGAATAGCAAAAAAGTAGCTATTATAATTGCAATTTCTCATGAATTTGCATCCAAATTTATAAACCAGATATGTGATGGGCATGACAAATATTTAATAAATCAAAAATTCAGGACCAGTCTGTAAAGTTAAAAGGACACTTGTATGGAAAAGTAATTACAAAGTTATTAAATAAATTAAATTAGAAAAATGAGCTTTGAAACCAAAAAAATTTTTTGTAGCACGATTGTCTAACAAGTAGTTACTGATTCTTAAGAACATAAACCTATTAATTCCCGTGTGTTTTCAGCCTGTGGGTATATTTTCATCAGACGGGGACACGGCACCACCAACACTATAAATTCACGAGAAAGCAATGTTTTAAGCCAAATTTAAAAAACATACATGTATAGGAAAAACTAAAGTTAAGTTTTCTTATGAAAATAAAGTTAATTATATTTTTAACAGTTTAGGTGATTAATTTATCTCCATTTATAAAAGGCATAGTTATTTTCGAACACATTTTAGTAACAAATTTATTCAGATGAAAGTTGGAATGATATGTACAGCAAGTCGTTTACAAAGACAAATTATCATAAATTTAATTATTGAATATACATTCAAGTTTTATGAGAGGATATGATTTTAAAAATCATAAATTCAAACCATTGCTTGAAAAATGATTGAAATAAATAAATTAAAGTTAAGTACAAAATTAATCCCTTAAAAATAAAAGTTAATGGTCAGTTTTTTCTAGTAACACACATTGACAAAAAACACTTTTTGAAACTCATCATACGAAAAGACTGGAAAGAAAATAACAATTTGAATGATACGATTTGATTAGCACATTGGTTTATGGTAGGGGTCTCCAAAATTCTCAGCCTAAGGTTTACAACTAACAGAACGGGTGTCCGAAAATTTTAGAAATTTAAAAAAAGAAGCTCATTTTTCTGTGCTCTCGACCTATTAAAGCAGTTTCTAATGCATTTTTACTCCTTTGCCTCTGTCCTGGTAAACCTTTTGACTTATTAGACATCCAGCTATGTCAATATACGAGGCTGTTGTTTTGAAATAAGTAAAAAATATTTTTTGAAGCAACATGTAATATTTATGCCAAAGATCAAATAAGATATTTGCCATTTGACAAATTTCCTTACCAATTATTGTGTTTCTCTTAAATATTTCATAAGGTTTACTGACTTAGTAAATTATAAAATAAACTGTTTTGGACCAGTTACCTGGTATGTCAAGCTTGCCACTGTGGGCAGGTTTTGACTTGCAAGCTGCAAGTTGAAGTCCCCTTAAGCTAAGAAATGAACATAACTTAAAACGTAACCCTACTGATATAAAGAATTGAAGGCAGTGATCACAGATAAATATTGTTTATAAACTTATATGTATTTTCTGAAGAAGATCATTTTCTCATTGAACAAGAATTTTTTGATAAAAATAAATTTTTAAAAATTTATATATATAAATAACAATGCAACAAATATATATATATATTTATAAGTGACTTCATGATAAATATTTGTGAATAAAACTTCTGTTGTAAATTATGTATTTAGCTGATTACACATTTTTAGAAGTTGTTCATCATACATATTGTCAATTAAAATAAAAAGTTGATGAAGTGAAACTGAAAATATGGATATTTTAATTTAAAACAATATATTTGCACAGGGATAATTCATACATCTTTGGATAAAAATACATTTTGACTCACTGGCATTCAACAATATGATATCACCTAAAAAACAAACAAATTTCAACAATATAAATTTTTGAGAATAAATAATTCTGTTATTTATAGAATTGCACTATAAGTGCAAATCTATCTTAAACTTCATTAACTAAGAATTCCCCCTCCCAATATGGATTATATTTCTGTCTTAAGAGTTTCTTCATTTTCTTCCTTAGCTGATTTTTTTTTTAAATCTTTAATTTTCATTTCTGATCTTTTCTTGCATTTTTGTTTCATTAATATTTTCCTTTTCTATTTTTGTTTTGTTTACATTTTTTCCGTAATTTTTTGTTTTGTTTTATATTTTGATTTAATTTTTTATTTTGTTTTAATTTTTTTTTATTTAAATTTTAATGCAATGTTATGAGAGGGTTGTAGCAAGCATGTCCCAAGCTTGGAAAGCTTTTTAAAAATAAAATGTCATAAGTGGCTTTAAAAAAAGCGGAAATCATTCCTGAACAGAAAAAGCGATTGACGGGGATTAACCTGACATAAAGAATGAAATAGTTCCGATTTTGAAGGTTTTTAAGTTCAGTTTTTGAACAAAATTTCTTATTCTATTTATTCAAAATTCTATTTATGGTTTATTTCTAAAACAAGATTTTGGATTGCTGATTTTAAAGTAAGATCGTTTAATTTTTATTTTTAACAATTTTAATGGTTACTTTAAATTAAAACTAGAAAATGGACAATTTTACTTAAAAATTATTAGAATCCACTTTATAAACTAGTATTGTTTATATTTTTTGTATATTCAATACCCTTATAATGGTTATTCAACTATTTAAACTACATGTATAGGTGTATTTAGAGCACGTGTTAAGTCGGCAGTTAGTAACCAGTGAAAAACTTTTTCTTTTTAACAGATTTTTGATGGAGTGGCGTTTTTACCAGGACAGTGTTTCTCCGCGGAGTTACGGTACTTCTAACAGAATAGTTGAGTCTATTTTAACAGTTTCCTCAGTGGAATCTATAGCTTGTAAAAACAGCAGTACTTATGAGCCAAATACTTTGAGTTTACCAGTTGGTTTAGATTTTGAGGAGGACTCTGTTTCAAATGAAACTTGTAGAACTAATGCAAATTCCACAGTTTCTAGAGTCGTGTTGATTTTTTAAATAGATGATAGATATTTTATTTGATGTTGATGATGAAGAATTAAACTTTCAAAAGAAACAAACTACCAAAAGATATTTCTGCTATAGAAAAATCCTCTCCTTCGATATATTTCTGTGTTTCTGCTGAATGGTATCTTTGGAAAATTTGCTCTTTTTTATAAGGATGAGCCTAGGAGGTGCAACAAGGGCGTAGATTTTTCAGATCATCCTACTAGATGCACACAAAAATAGTAACAAACATAAAGAAACAATAACTTTGTTTAAGTCTATACAAGGTCTTTCTATTCTTCCGGAAATTGAATTGGGATCGAAAAAAGTTTAAGAAGAAAAAAGACGTGCAAATGAAAAATTATTATGAAATTTATTAAAGTACTTTACATTATGATTAAAAAACACTGGGCTGTTTCAGAAAATTTTAAAACAGTAAGATTTCTTTGAAATTAAATGGGTAATGCAATAATTAATTTACATTTAAAAACTTGCGCAAAAAAGCCACCTATTTATTGAATGTTTCTGTAAATAATTTGATACAAGCTATCGATTTGTATTTAGAAGAGAAAAATATTGGGCTAGGTTTGATTGCAAGATACAAAGCACCGGGAGTGAAAGGAATTAAGGAAAAATTTCTTGGAATTATTAATTTGGGTTCTATTAATGTGGAATCTATTACAAATACCATTGAAAAGTTCATGGTTGCAAAAGGCATCAAATTGCTTATTTATTGTTTTGGATGGTGCAAATGTAATGAATGGGGAAACATGAGGTATCCAAAGAAGGATGAATTGCAAGCACCTCATTCAGTATAGGTAAATTGTCGGAATTATAGGCTAGCTCTTGCCTTTGCCCACCTACTAAAAAAGTGTAACTTAAAATCAGTCGATTCTGTATTAGTTAGCCTATAGAAAATGTCTCACTACAGTCCCGAAAAATCACAGGTTTTTAAGGATATACAGGGAGAAGTGTGAAAGATAAAAATTTCAAAATTCTGAATGTTTCAGCCACAAGATGGCTTTCATGTGGCAAAGCTTGTAAAAGAGTTACAACTTGTCATCATCAGCAAGTGGATGTCTTGTTTGTGAAAAACAAAGAGCCTGAAGTAAAAAGCACCCAAGAGCAAATCTCAAATCCTCAAGTACTATTGACATATCTGATTTTTTAGGGAAAGTGGATAAGTCCTGACATAGCATTTAGCTTGGTCTCTTCAAAAGTAAGCAAATTTGTTGATAATGTACTAGATTTCACTAAAAACCATTAAAAAGGAAATCATTTAAACAAAAAAAAAATGAACTACTTTCATTTGCTTTAGACTGCACTACACTAAGTAGAAGTTCACGAAGCAATTCAAAGTCTCGTGATTTTTCTGAACTTATTAAAATCTATAAAGAGAATTTTGTAGAACCTTTTGAAAAAGAAATGGAAAATGCATTTATGATTCCTACTCCATTATATGGATTTGATTTATTTTCTGACAGAAATATTTCTGTGGATAATAATGATACATCCTGGCAAACTCCTTTTTTTGTTTTTGTTTTTTTTTCATGGGAAAGAAATAAAAAAAAATTATGAATATAGAGGTGCAAAGAATATTTGAGCTCCATTTATTATTGAAACAGTAGCCCAGATAGAAATATCAGGATTTTAAAAAAGAAATGTCAACAACAAAACCGAGTTATCAGACGGAAAAAAAGAAAGAAGCAGAACTGCTTATTTGTCTGAACAAGCAGGAGTTGGCAAAACAATTGAATCAAAAGACTAATTAAGAATATTAAAAGGCTTTGGAATGAAGACACTTTATCCTAACTGCATGAAGTTGGTCTCTTATAACTCCATTATTCAGGGTTCACCAATAATGTTGGGCTTTACCAAGAAGCTATTAATTTGGAAAAACAGTTATCAATAGTTTCTGAAGCTTTAAATAAGCTTCAATCAGAAAACACTTCATCTTCAGAAGCTGTTAAAATATGGATTAACTTACTATCGTGCGATGAATTAGAACCCCATAAACATTTTATAAAAAGATTCCATCAAGATATTCAGCCACTTCATTTGTTAGCATACACCATGGATTTCAAAACAAGAGGACAACTTTTAAATAATGAACAGGAGCAATTTGCAGAAGACTAGCTTTCTATGCATCATCCAGAATTTCTGCCATATTCCATGGCTTTCAAAATTTCTGATGATGAATACTTTTCAAAATCATGGTGCATTACACTATTACTCAACAGTTTTCATCACAAAAATAATGAAAAATTGTCCAAAAAAAAAGTTCCAAGCTTCCACAAAATTTCTGCCATTTCTCTTTTTCGTTGCACTCAGCGCCGCCAGCATACTCTGCCACTATCGAAAGACACTTTTCAAACTATCGTTTTGGTATGGAGTAAACTATAAAATAGATAAAGCTACAAAAACTCAAAAGTGTATGGTCATCTAAGAGAGAAATGTGGACACTTTGAATCTGGTGTATGTTAATTATAGGGGAGAGTGGCTCTTTGGACACAGTACACCTTGGTACATTTTTATTTTTGGTCTTAAATTTTAAATTATCTTTAAGTTCTTTTAGATTCAGATATATGTCAGCGTCACCTAATCTTGGAACATACTTTGATTCGATTGATTAAGCAGGTAAGAATTTATTAGAATTTTTATTTTTTGAAGCATGTTTTTTTATTTTTATATAAAAATTTAATTAGTTGTAGAAAGAAATTTTAATAAAATTATTTTTAATAATGGGCAATATAATAACAGACGTGCCAACTCTCCCGCATTTTGCGGGAGTCTCCCGAATTTTGTGTCCAGCTCCCGCCCTCCGGAATTTATTCAAAAAACTCCCGAATTTTACCTCCATCGACACCCTAACTCATTTCCCGCGAGCGACGAAATATTTTGTTTTTCCTTCCACGCGTTTCGATTCCCCCTTGTAATATTTCATCCCTCCTTATTTATTATCTGCCTAAAGCGAAGTTGCAGGAGTTCCTTTAATCCCCCCTTCCCGCTTTCTTCCTCCTCTCTTTCGTTACCACTCCTTAACATTCCAAATCAATGACGTCACCCTTCCTCTCCGACTCCGCCCACTCTTTTTCCGTGCCTTGACGTGTTTAGATGAATGAACGTTGTTTCTCTATAACTTGATTTGCTTTTCTATATCAATATTATTAATAATTAAATTTGCATATATTTAGTTTAAAAATATTTTTATTATGTCGAAATCTAAAAGAAAATATTCAACTAATTTTAACCAATTTTACACAAAGGAGTTTCCTTCTATTATTGCTTCTAAAAAAGGAAGTGTGTATGCCTTTTGTACAGATTGTGCGTGTGATTTTTTAATTGCCCACGGCGGCAAAAACGATATTTTGCGGCACTTGAATGGGCAGAAGCACAAAAATGCTATAAACTTTATGAAAAGCAATAAAAAAATTTCTTTTCCAACCGAGGATGATTCTGTCATAAAGGCAGAAGCTTATTTTACGGCATTCCTGATTGAGCACAATCTACCCATTAATTGTGCTGATCATGCCGGGCCACTGTTTCGGAAAATGTTTCCGAATGATAACATTGCCAAGAAGTATGCTGCTGGCAGAACAAAAACATCTGCTATAATAAGCGAAATGGCAATGCTTGAAAAAGAATCGGTGAAAGAGATTTTAAAAGCAAATCCTTTTTCGATATCAACTGATGGTAGCAACAAATCTGATGCGAAACTCTATCCACTTGTTGTTACCTACTATAATGAAAAAAGCATGGTAATAGAGAGTACTTTGATGTCAGTGCCAAATTTAGAAGGGGATTCAACGGGAATAAATATAGCCAACTTAATTTTAAGTGAGTTAAATGTTAATAACATCCCACTTAAAAACTGCCTGTCTCTTGGTGCAGGAAATGCTCCA